TAACGTTCTAGTTGGGAGAGACAGATAATAGACAAGGCATCGTGCTACCAATCTCATGGGCAGTTTTCAGCCCACATTTTATTAGACCTCTCAGTCTCTTCCTTCTAGAAATGTTTTCTTCACTTGTTTTTTTCTGGGACACCACATTCTCTTACTTTACTATCTATCTATCTTGGTAGCCTTTGTTGGATCCTTCCTGTTTTTAAATTGGTGGACCCCAGAGCTAAGCCTTCTAAAAGTTCTTCCCTCCTTCACTCAACATCAATATGCTGATGATCCAAATTTATGTTTCCAGGCTTCACTGCTCCCCTGAATTCCAGTCTTTTAAATCCAACTGCCTACTTGACATCTCCACTTGGATGGCTTCCCAAACTTAACATGACCACCAAAGTCAAATTCTTCCTTTTCTACTCCCAACTACTCTTACTTGAGTCTTTCCTTTCTCAGTTAATGGCGATTTCATTCTTCCAACTATTCAGGAAAAACTTTGGAATTATCCTTGACTTCTTTCTTTCTCTCACAGTCCATATCTGATCCAGTAGATTTAGCGACAAAGATGTCCATCACAGCATTGTTTATAAAATGAAAACTTGGAAATAATCTATTGTTCAAGAGTGGAAGATTGGTTAAATCATGGTACATGTGGCCATTAAAAATAATGTTGTAGGGGGGCTGGCCCAGTGGCATAGTGGTTAAGTTCATGTGCTCTGCTTCAGTGGCCCGAGGTTCACAGTTTCAAATCCCAGGTGCAGACCGACACATCACTCATTAAGCCATGCTGTGGCAGGCATCCCACATACAAAATAGAGGAAGATGGGCACAGCTGTTAGCTCAGAGCCAATCTTCCTCAGCAAAAAGAGGAGGTTTGGCAACAGATGTTAGCTCCGGGCCAATCTTCCTCACCAAAAATAATAATAATAATAATAATAATAATGTAGATTAATAGGTTACTATTTAATGAAAAATGTTAAACAACTCAATGATAGAGAGCTGTGAATCCTATCACTCGGCTACAACAATTAAAAACTGATGGCCATTCTTGCTTAATTTATAGCCCTAGTTCTCGCCCACCTCCCCCATGGGATTGTTTTTAAGCAAATCTCAGGCATCATAGTATTTATTATGTAAATTATATAATAATATATTATGTTACAAAAGCATATTATAAAGAAATACATATAATATGATTTCATTTTGTAAACTATATATATGCACAGAAAAAACTCTGACAGGATAGCTGTGTCTGAATCGTGATATATGAATGATTACTGATATCTTCTTTTGCTTGTGTATATTTTCCACAATGAACATGTATTACCTGGAGAAAAGATGATGGGGGGTTGGAAGAAGATGTTGATGCCAGACATTCTAGGTCTATTCCTTTCTAAATTTGATTCCTTTAATTCAGGCTGGGTACTTCACATCGTGAAACAGAAATAACCTCTTCATGGAGGTGAGGATCCTCGACTGTCAGCCTGTTTTCTCTTTGGCCAGTCTGTAATCAAAAGTTGCCAGATTAACGTCTATGGTTATAGCACGGTTTCTCAACTTCAGCTCTATTGACATTTTGGGCTGGATAATTCTTTGTTATGGAAAGCTATTCTTGGCATTGGAGGATGTTTTGCAGCATCCCTGTTCTTTACCCATTAGATGCCTGGTAGCATCCTCCCCCTACCCTCACCTTATAACAACCAAAAACATCTTCAGAAATTGCCAAATGTCCCCCTGTTCGCAAAATTGCAAAATCACCCCCTTTTGAGAACCACTGCACTATAGCATGTGTGCAAATTGAAATGTATGGTGTCTGGAAATTAGCAGTAAAAATATTCTTTCACTCATTTTGCTGGCTGAAACCTCAAGGAGAATGTAATTTGTGATCTGATGAAAGCTGCTTTTGTGGTTTACTGACCTGCACGTTTAATTAACCAACCTATGACTCAGCGGTTAATGATTATCTGCATTTTTGAAACATATCCAGAAACAACGGAGACAAGTTCAACTCTATGAGAAAAGCAAAGGTCGTGAATGAAAGATTGCTTGTCAGCGACCACAGTGATCAGCTAGATTTGCCCCTCCAGCCTACCAACTGACCCAGTTCACTACTTATTATCATGCATGACACAGGGAAATATTGTGTGGAAGTTAAAAATGGGAGGTTTCTTCCTAGAAAATTAACAATGCTACATATATATAAACAGTTCCTTTTTATTAGTAATAAACACATAGAGACAGTTGCAGAAGAGAAAGGGGCATTTAAATATTGCATTTTATTTGGATTTTTTCCCCCATAATAGAAACATTATTAGAGAACCATAGAAACGAGATAAGAGAAAATATGAGGTCATCTTGCCCATTCTCTTCAAGAGCTACACTGTTCTGTGTGCCCCACCCTCTACTCCCAGTCCAGAGTCTTATTAAATATCCCCATTTTAATAATATATGATACTCCTCATGTTTACCCCCTGGAGAGTAACTCAATAGGTAAGCAGAGGACATAACATGAGGAGTATCATAACCTTCAAAAGATTACTTAGTGGCACTGTGTTGGTTGCATAGAAAATAAAACTTCTAGTAAAGTCTACATAAGACATCTGTGATCCAGGTTTATCAAGCACAATACAAATCGTGTCTTAAACAGCTTTACACAATTATACAACTTAATAGAATGCATGTGTGGGATCTTGAGTCTTAATGGTTGGTTGTTTCTTGCAACTGTTGGGTACTCCTACTTCCAGAGAACACTGTAGAAGATATTTATAAACATCCTTATACTTTCTCATGTTTACCTACGTTGGAGTCAATGCTTGAATTTTGTTTTTTATGATAACATCCACAATTTTCTTTAATGGTAAATAATAAAAATAATTACGGTCATGCGCCACAAAACATTTCATTCAATGATGGACTGCATATACGACGGTGCTCCCATAAGATTAGTACCGTATAGCCTAGGTGTGTAGTAGGCTATACCACCTAGGTGTGTGTAAGTACACTCTATCATGTTTGCACAATGATGAAATCGCCTAACGACACATTTTTCAGAATGTATCCCTGTCATTCAAGGACGCAGGACGGCACTATTAATTGAGTACTTTCTGTTATTTCAGGTATTATTTAGGTACTGAACATATAATATTTTATGCAATCTTTGTAATCCTCCCAGACACACAGGTCTATTGCACACGGGAAAACTGAGGCTCACAAAAGTTAATTAGTTTGTCCAAAGTCTCACAGCTTCTGAAAGGTCTCACAAGTTCAACACACAGTTCAAGTCTGACACCACAGTTCCTGTTTAAATAGTTACAAGATGTGAGGTTCTCCTAAGAGTTTGCGTCAGGAAAAATGTACTTGCTTGGATTCCTTAAAACAGAGCCCATCTTCAGTAGCCGGAGGGCTGCGTCTAAGAAAAAACCAGAAGTCAATCATAACGAAACACTGAGGAGAATGGACTAGATTTGGTTGAGTTTTGTTACGCGTGGAGAAATAGCCCAAGTGCTTTGTACAGTGACGAAGAATAAAGTGGGTCTTTCTCAAGCCAGGGGGATTTTAGAGAGGAAGACTCCTTATGGAAGATTCCGGAAATTCAAGCAGGGAGTGGGGGAGCGGGGCTCCGTATTTGGTCTCTGTTGTCGTCCATGCTGCAGGCCGTTAGGGGGAGAGCGTGGGTCAGTAGGAGTAGTCTCACATAGGAGCGCGGAAAATGCAAGCGCGGAGCAAGAAAAAAATGTGGCACAGCTAAAGAAAACAAACCTACACTCAAGCGCAAACCTACAACCCGAGCCCAAACCTCAAACGGGCTGTGGGACAGAATTGTACCAACAATTGAAAACGGAACAGCTAACACTGGACTTCAGGCTGTGAGCGTTCAGCCTGATTAATTAAGGTCAAGGTGGCGATGGAAATACCAGCTGGGGAGCATTTTGCCGAGAGATAAATTTGTCCCTCTGTATCTCTGCAAGACAGCAGGGAGGTGTGTGTTTGGAGCTAAATTAATTTGATTTACATCATGCCATGGTAACTTCTGTTCTCTCTCCCTGCTGTCAGCTGTCTTCGCTGGCTTTTTCCCTCTCCTCCTTCACCCCCACACATTTCATAACACGGAGAGAAAGCACGGATGGGCTTCAGGCGGAATTTAGAAATGGAATAACTCTCATTTGATTATTCTGCATTGACCACTGGTCTCCCCTCCCCCTCCCCCTTCTTTCTTGAGGGAGAGAAGTTGTAAACCAGAGCACAAGCGCGATGTATTTTTATATCGCGTTTAATGGCGCAAACTGCTTGACAATCAGGACTTGTTCCTTGTAGCAAAATCTGGGAGCTCACCTATCCTCCTCCTGTTTCTTCAGCAATACTAATGCTAGAAAATGAAGTTACGGCCCAGCATCCCGTTAGGAATGCGCTTTTTCTGGCCTTGTAGTTTTCAGCTCCGCCAGGCTCTGGAGGCCCGGGGGGAGGGCGCTGCTCAGGGACCCCCGAGGTGGGGCTGGGCTGCGGTTCTCGCCCGGCCGAGCCGCCTGCACGGCCGGGCCCCCGCCTGGCCCGCCGCCCCTCGCCCCCATCCCGCGGCCGGGCAGGATAAGGTTACGCCGAGGCCTGCTTGGACGGGAGGCAGGGAGGCGGGTCCCAGCCCGCGCCCCGGCCCGCGGGGGAGTTCGCACAGTTGGCAGCTCGGCCCGG